CTTCTTAAAATGAGAAAATCTAGGTTTTAACACATTTTCCCAGGGCAAAAAAGTACTTGGGTCCCTGACTATCAGACACAAAAGTAAAACCTTTATAAAGTCAAATGTGCCAATAACACCTCACCCAGCTAAGTATCAGGTCAATTACAGCTTCTGAGACAGCACATAATTGCAATAATGTAGCAGGCTAATTATCATCTCCTAATTATTTCCAACCTCTGTTAAGGGGCTGTTAAGTGTTTAGACTGTGTATGGCCAGTGCTCCCTGATGTGATGGTCAATGTTCAGCCATTAACCCTTAATTTGAATTGAAATTTGATTCAAACTGTGTGATGCTAATCAGTTAACACAATTTAGAAAATGTTGAACTCATCTGTAAATGGCCTTTATCTCACTGGAGCAGACTAACAATACCCTAGCTCTGGCTAGATAGAACAGTTCAAAGATAACACAAAGTGGTGTAACCTTAAAATCCTTAGAGGGTACTTAGCACAGCTTTACACCCTTTAATACAGGGACTCTCCTATTTTAAGTGCCTTCAGCATGGTTTAAAGGTAGCCTGTAACACCACCTTTACAAGAGCTAATACTCAAAATACTTACCTATGGAAGAGTTTTTACCTCTGTGAGTGATTTCCAGTTACTTGTATATGTAAGGGTTTGCAGAAGTGGTACCCTGATCTTATAAAGCATTTTGGGGTTCATGTTATTATATAAACTCTGTACAATTTAAGGACTCAGTTCCTCAAATAATTACTCCTTGGCATTGCATTTACTATCATGACACTGGCTACAGTGATATTGCTTAAGGCTTTAAATGTGTAGTGCACATGGTAGGAAGTATTTGGAGGCCTGGAACTTAAACTTATATTCCTAAAGGTATTTCCTTTAACTAAAAATCCATTTCCTTGTTAAATATTAAATTTAAAATTTACAAACATGAATGTTTCTCTTTTTTCTGAAACGAGTCAAACGAGTAGTAAATATCCCATTTACTACTTCCTTTTGTAGTGGGGCCTGGCAATATTATAATTCACATTCCTCCAGGGGTGTTTTATTGATAAATGCATCAAAGATTGTGAGATGTTCAGATACTATGGTAATACTGGCCAAATAATTAGTATAGATATCAAATACATCTTAACACTTCTGTGCATAACTCAATTAGCTTTTTTACTATAGCCTTCAGTGAATCATCATATAACATGCCATGGACCAGTATGTTTTTCTTAGGCCCCTCTACATATTACAAGTATTGTGTAATTAATGGATTAATTGTACAATTACCTGGGGACCCGCTACACATGCAAAGTAGCTCTCACACAATAAAAAACTCCAGTCATTTATAAAGTTAGACCTCAAAAATGTGTACTAGTTTATAGCTGGTTGTTACTGATCTTTAATTTGCATGTGTAGCAGGGTCTTTTCTGTGGCTGGGAGCCCTGTTAGCTGATAGGGCTCTCAACTGTAGAGGTGTACCATGCCTACCGTGAAACCCCTGGGCCCTGGGGATCATGGTTGCCATAATCCCTAGGGGTTGGGAGTGCAGGAAACACCTGTTGCTGGGGGGATCGCTGCAGGGACTATTTCCCCCTGCCTTAGGGGTTTCCTGAACCCCTGGGGCAGGTGAAATCACCCGGAGGAAGTAAGCTTCTGGGGCAGGGAGATTGCGATCCTAACTGGGGTGTGTGGCTCCCAGCCACAGGAGCTTGCTTCTTGCCAGTGCAGGGGCAGGCCAGTTCAGGCTCCCCCTGCACTAGCAATAAGGCTCAATAAGATCTAATGCACAATCCCACAACTGTGCTTCCTGCCATGCATGTGTTGTATGACAGAAGGCATGATTGCATGAATCATGCCTTAGAGACCATTGAGCCTTTACCTGCATGTATAGAGGGGCCTTATTAATCTGTTGAACCTAAATTTAAATCCAGTTCTTGGTTAGAATTACATATAAAATATCTCAAGATCTTGGTTATATTTTTTCATGCAGCCAAGCAGAAGAAAACTATACTTGAAACTAAAGCTTTGCAACAAGTTAGCAGTTTCACTTCTCAGGAGGTCCTGTAAACATTTACTTTAATTTTCATCTGTGTTTCTTGGCTACTACACTTGAAGCTTGTTTTGCATTTTAGTTTCTAACTTGCCCCAATTTCCCAAATGACAACCTATGAAAGCTATTGAAACCATGAATTTTGCATGATACCAACTTTAAGTTGGCACAGATTTCTTCAAGCTTAGTCCGTGTCCACTTGCAACTGGACCAGGTATGCTGATATGGTTTGAAAATCCTTAGAAACATTTAGGTCAATCTGGTTTATAATTTCAGACGGAAGTTTTTGGATTTTTTTTTTTTTTTTTTTTTTTTGTAAATGTAATTCTTAGCTAAAATGGAAGCAAAGATGGATATTTCTGCTGAGTATTAAAAATTAGGGAACGTTGTAGAGCTATAGAGAAATAAATATGTGGAAGAGAAAAGATATCAGTTTTAACATGAATGAACCAAATTCCCTACTCATATGATCCCTGTTCAAACTCACCAGTGCCAGGAAGATTCCACAGAATGTAAAGCAGCAGTGAATTTGGCCCATTATGTTATAATTTTTTTTATAGAGTGCTAAGCTGAAAGAGGTCATAAGCAATGAGAGGTTTGAGGCTTCCACTCCTTTGGCCTAGTGCATTACAGGAAATGCTACTGTAGCTAAAAAATTCTGTCTAGGAATTCTGAGGAAGGCCCTCTCTCTTAAGGAAATAGTGTGGAGAACATGATACGTGGGGGAACTGGGGTGAGGAACAGGTCCACTTGGATCCTGAAGCTGCCCTCCTTTTTATTTGAATCAAAACTTCCAAGAATTTTTCTTCCATTTTTTGATAAAAAAGCAGCGGAAATATAGTTATGAATTGTTCTGTTGTGAGACAGCAAAATATGTTTGTCTTTGGGAATTAATATCTACTAAAAGCACTGGAATAAATCTCTAGGGCAAATAATCTGCTGCCCTTGCTTAGACAGAGCAGTACTTATTCATATGGAAAGTCCCAAGGAAGTTTATGGAACTAATTGGGAATGCTGCCTGACAAAGAAGCAGGCTTCATTTTATGGTCGTTAAAAGGCTAGGTATGTGGATTTCAAGACTGGCTTTTTAAACGAGCATAAGTGATCTGAGTAGCAAATCTTTAGTGAATTTAAGAATCTAACGCTCTGTAGGCTTCCGAAAATTGCAGTACAAATACTGAAACACTTTGTGTCAGGGTTCCTGTCAGGTTTTCCCTATAGTCCAGCAAACACAAGGTACTATAGCTTTAAATTGAGCTCTAGGCTATAACACAGTTTTATAATGCACTCAAGTTTATAGTGGGTCCTAAAACTGAAGATATTTAGATACAGGAATTAGCTTACTGGAGACACCATAAATGACCAACATTTAACACTTTTCTACCTTTAAAACTAGAGTTACTCTGTTAAGCGTATAATTTTTACAGTACCAAACTAAATGAGACATCCTTACAAAGCATTTTTTTCTTGCTTCCTTTAGAAGCTATTAGTTTCTTTGCTATTAATTTAACATATATATTTTCAGAATTTAAAAAAGTCTTCATGAGACCAACATAGAATACAATGCCTTTTTATGGGGCATGTTTTGATTTCCTAAAAGATCATTTGAAATTATTTGTGCCACAGATTGTGCTCTTGTTTTAAATAATGTGCGTTTGTGCATCTGAGTAGGCTCATAGGAAAGTAGAGCTGAAAAGGACCTCATAAGGTAATCTAGGCTAGACTCCTGCACAAAATAGGATCGTCTCTGACTAAACTATCTCTGCCAATTGTCTGTCTAACCTGCTTTTGACGTTTCCAAGGATGGAGATTCCATGACTTCTCTAGGTAGCCTGTTCCAAAGCCTGAACACCCCCGTACTCAAAATGTTCCTCCTAATCTCCAACCTAAATTTCCCCTGCTGCAATTTGGGGTCATTGCTCCAAGTCCTGTCCCCTACAGCCCCAGAGAAAAGCCCATTTACATCCATCCTCTCTATAATCGCCCTTCTGATATTCCATGACTGTGATCAAATTTCACCCCCTCCCTCCCACCCCATCCCACCTCAGGCTCCTCTTCTTCAGGCTAAGTAACCCTACTTTTTTCAATTTTTCTCATAAGTCTTGTCTGTCAAGGTCCTGATCAATTTTGTTGCCCTGTGCTGGACTCTTTTCAAACTGTCCATATCCTTCTTGCAGTGCAGAGCCCAAAACTGGGCACAGTACGTTATGTAAATCCTCTCACTATTGCTGAATAGAGTGGAAGAATCCCTTTTCTTGATTTCCAAGTGATACTCTAGTTTATACAAACCCAGGATACTGTTGGATTGTTTTGTAATGAGAGCGCATTGTTGCTTTATATTCAGCTTATGGTCTACTGTAATCCACAGGTTTTTCTCTGCAGTACTGAAGCCTCTGCACTACTGAAGCCTGCAGTAATGAAGTCTGTATTTGTTCATGCAGTTATTCTGTCCCAAGTATAGGACATTGCACTTGTCCCTGTTCAGTTTCATCTGACTGATTCTGTACCATTTTTCCAGTCTGTCCAGGTCATCCTGGATTCTAGCTTTGCCCTCCAGGGTGTCTGAAATTCCACCCAAAGCTTGGTGTTATCCATAAATTTGCTAAGCACACACTCAGTCCTGTCATCCAAATCATTAATGAAGATATTAAACAATACCAGACCCAGGATAGAACCCTGGGGAATCCTTCTTGATACCTCCTCTCAACTAGACATAACATGTAATACATATATATCTATATCTATAGACATGTTATATCTATATCTATAGACATGTTATGTCTAGTTGAGAGGAGGTATCAAGAAGGATTCCCCAGGGTTCTATATCTATATCTATATATATACATACTATATCTATGTGTGTGTGTGTATGCACACACACACACATGCTTAAAGTATGTTACAGTCATTTGTTTTTCAACTATTCGAGGGCAAAACACAGTGAAACTTACTGTTTTAAAGTACTCTGCTAGTTCATCTGGGTTCCAAGCAGCCACGTCTGAGCGATAAGGAATGTTTCGCAAATCCATTTTAGTTTTAATTTCCTAGGAGGTTACAGAATTTTCATGCCAAGAGTATTGATGAAACAGCAAAGACTTCTTGTCTGAGACCACTTCCAGCAAGTTTAATAATCTCCTTGCCTAATACATGCTCAGAACTTCTTTTGTTAAATACTGACTTCTTATTTCTGAATTATGGTGTAAGAGCATTCAAGAGAGCCCCTGCTTCCTCTCAGTACAAAATGGTCTCTTCTCAGAAAACTTGTCAGCTAGTCAGTCTTACCACTTCCTTTATGTGTGAATCTAAATAAGTAAACAAGGAAGCGCAGTAACATGTTTAAAATATGCTGCCTGCTGCACATAAGTGAAATCTGTATGAGCCCTTTTCATCTGAATTTAAGTGGGAAGGGTGTTTGTGTATTTACATGAAATACCCATATAAATATACTGGTACCTAGACTCTGTATTGTGTGCATGTATATACATGAGGATTCCTGAAAAAGACTGTTGCTTTTGAGTTAAATTTGCTTAAGTGCAAATGTAGCCATGCGATACCTGAAAAAATGAGGAAATACCTACATAAAGGAACTTTCTTTTGCATATCTTGTCACCCCAGATGACAGATTAACTACTTATATTAGTAAATACTCCCTTACCTTTCTAACGTGTAAAAATAATAACATGTAAAATAATACACAAAACAAATTCCTCTGGCTCATGCAGTTATGCAAGCTCTTAGCAGTAGTCTCTGAAATAGTTCCATGTATTTTCTACAATCATATGTACATAGTCTGAGCGTATGGTATTTTTTATACACAAGGGTACAGTACCAAGTTAGTGTTACATTTGTGCATGAGGATAGATGCTCAGATATAGTTATGGAGTCAATACATAAACAGTACCTCAGTGATATAAAGTCATAATTAGAACCGGAGGAAATATTTAGAAGTTCCAGGTTTAAATGCATTTTTTAAATTAAATTGTAATGATTTCTCCTGCATTTTATATGCAGGCCTAGTGGTCACCACCCTGAGCCTGAGCAATAAAGTATTGAATCCTGAGATTGGTAGCCTAATTAAAAGCAGGCAACCAGGGAACCAACCTGAGGTATTGACTTCAGGAGTGTGCAAAAACAGCAGCCATTGCTGCTGCTCTCTAGGTTGTTATTTGCTAGCAGCTCAGTTGTAGCTTCTGCCTTGTATGCTACTGCTGCCCAGGGTGCAAAACTGCCCCATTATACCTCTGCATGAGATGATAGGGGTTATGTGACAGACCCCAGAGTTATGATAAATTGATCCTACTTGTTCCTTTAACTCATCTACACTTCCCACTTTCAGCTTCCTTACTGAGACTGATAATCCAAACTTCCTAGCAGCTTTAAACACATTCCATTAAAAAGATACTTTGAGAAATTTTACTTTATTCTCCCTTCCCCTTGCCCCAAAACAGAATTTCCTCCCAAAGTCATGCTGATACAAGGTGCTGTATAAGTATTATCCAGTCATGGTTTAGTGACAGGGATGAGGTCTGGTAGTTTATGGACCTGAGTAGGAATAGTGTTTGCTATAGAGTATACCTCTGTCATGTATACCTGCACACTTCACACATTTTGAAAAAATGTTACACCTGATCTGTGTAAAGATGTCTGGTTTTTTTTCTTTGAATAGTGGTTTGTTCGTTTTGATAAATGCATATGACATCATAGACAAATACAGGCTGCTGGGGAAACATAATATTGAATTTCCTGTTGAAATTTTCATCCATATTTTTGCATTAATGTAATTGTTTATCATGCAATTTCCTGTTGTATTTTATCAGTGGAAAATGTTGGTCACTTGCTCAGATAAACAGGTTGCCCGCCCAGTGTGAACAGTGTGTGTGTGTGTGTCTGTGTCAACTGCCCACCATTACAATGTGGGACAGGGTATTCAGTCACGTGGTAACTGAAATAAAAGATATATTTTTTTCTTTATTTCCAGCTTTAGATTTCAGTTAATTACTCATAATTTCTGCCCTCTCACCATTTCCATAGCTACTTTGTTGTTTTCTCTCCCTATTTCTCTGTAGTCACTATTGTTCCTCACAATAATAATTCTTCCCCTTTCACCTCACCTATCTGACTCGTCTTTATCTTTGGACCTTAGTGAAAAGGTGAGTAGACCAGGTTGAGTTCCATGATGGCAGGATATTGTAACCAAAATAAGGATTAAAGAGGAGATTTAAAGAGTGGATTTAAGTACTGGGAAGAGAAGGAAAGGTTGAAGGATCTAAGCAGGCCCAGAGGGGTTGGTGGCTAAGGCAGCTTGGAGGGCTTAACTGGTAGGAAGGAACATAGACTGATCCTTGAGAGAGCTAGTCCGAGCGATAGCTGTGGAAACAATAGTGGGTGGATGAATGAGATGGGGCAAGTAGAGAGCAGTAGAAGGGGAAATAGAGTTGATCAGTCACATCCCCAAACCCACCCAAATTTTGTATGTCCACAAGCAAAGAGAAGTGGAGAACCTTCAAAAAAGAAGGAAAAAGTCATGTGAAGTCTCCAGGAGAGGAGAGTACAAGATAACATCCCTTTCACAGCATGCTATGTTGCGTGAATTTTGCATCTCAGAATGTCACCCTTTTGTGAAGACCTGCAGTCCCTTAAAAGTGAGAAATACAGTAAACTCTAGTTAATTAGCCTGTCAGATAATTCACCACTACAGTTTAATTTGACATTGTTTCAGTTCCCTGCCAGAAACCTTGTCCCCGCAACCCCACCCTCCCATCCCTAGTATCAGCTCCTGATAATCACATCACCACTGTGTTAATTGGTTACTACTGGATATTTCACCAGTAGTAGTATTCTTCTTGGAGTGGGAACTTAACCAATTTACTCATAGTAACTATTACTAGATACTAGACTGAGATAATTTTATAGCTTTTTATTTGAAAAACCTCCACTGATAACGAACTTCACTTTAGAGGGTAACTCTTCAAGTACTTACAAATATAGGCTAACAATGAAATTGCCCTTTGGTTATAGCTACACTGGGTTAAATAGTACTTGAGATTCTTAGTGTTTTGGAGCTGACAGTTCAAAAAGGAAGCCCATACTGCCCACGCTCTTCAGGGTTAAAAAAGCATTAACACTTTCCACCCTCTCTTTCCTGTCTGAGGAAGGCAGAAGATGACATCGTGGATGGACCTTATTGGAAGATGGAACTCATGTCTAACTGCTTTCATAATGACTATTTCCACAACACCTTGGTTTACATTTTCATTTTTCCAGAGCTGTCTCATTGCACACATGAAGCTCATAAATCTTCAATTAACATGAAGTAAAACTCCACAACCCTACAGAGTTGGACATTTTGTCTTTTTTCTTTTGACCAATTTAGTTTTAATACTCTCCAACTAACAGATCTTCCTCCACTCTTCCTCCACTGTTACATCCTCAGTTGCATCTGACTTGAAGGGTTTTTTGAATTTGTCATAATATTCCCTTTCTTAATGTAATCCCCTTTATTCTATGATACAAACATTAATACAACGCACACTAAAGAATCCTTGTTTTTTACACCAATTGGATATCTTTATATTGTTTCATATTGCTAGCTATCCCTTCATAATCACTATATGGAACTCTACTTCTGTGACGACCTGTAACTTTTCTTATCTATCAGTTTATTTCCGCTGTCTAGTAATCGCTTGCTTACCCTTAGTTTCATAGTATCATGGTGCTTAGGCTCAGAAGGGACCTAAACAGATCAGCAGGTCTGACCCCCTGCCCTGGGCAGGAATGAGTGCCGGGGTCATAACACCCCAGTCAAATCTCTGTCTAGCCTCCTCTTGAAGATCCCCAGGGGAGGAGATTGCACCACGTCCCTTGGGAGTCCATTCCAGAGCCTGGCAGCCCTAACCATAAAGTAATATCTCCTGATGTCCAGCCTGAACCTTCTCTCTAACAGTTTGTGGCCGTTATTCCTAGTAACCCCCAGTGGTGCCCGAGAAAACAGAGCCTCACCCAATTTCTGCTGGTCCCCCCTGGTGAGTTTATAAATAGCCACCAGATCCCCTCTCAGCCTTCTCTTGTGGAGGCTGCATAGATTCAGGCCATTTAGCCTCTCTTCATAGGTCCTGACCCGCTGCCCCTTTACCATGCAAGTGGCCCTCCTCTGGACCCTCTCAATGCTAGCCACATCCCTCTTGAAGTGTGGCACCCAGAACTGGATGCAGCATCTTCTCTTTTGCAATATCTTTCTGCTAATGTGATGCCCAAAACTGAATACAAAAAGTCAGGGAGTATGATTGATGGAATAATTAGTTTGTACAGTTGCTAGTGAGTACAGTAGGAGTTGTATGAATACAGTGACAAGTTAACTGGGTTCCATGTGTGACCTTGTCCATACTATAGATGGGGACCAATCTGTGTCTGGCTTCTAGCAATATTAACTATGAATGGTGGCTTTATATTTTAAAAGCTAAACGTTATATTTATTCATTTCCTTGCTTAGGGCTTACGTGGCTTCAGCAACTTGAAGACTCAAAGTATACACCAGTGTTAGGTTAACTGTGGATACTGTGAAACTGTAACATAAAGCCCCCTTTTCCTCTTGCCTGCATTTGCTCTCCCCTCTTTGGATATGTTTCTCTTTTTCTACCTTTTCTTCCTTCCTCTCTCTTTCACTGTAAGATAAGGAATTGTGTTTTAAAATTTGTATGTGTGCATTTTGTATCTCCCCTTGTAGTTTGGTATTTTTATCTATTTGTGTGCCATGGCATTTGTAGCTTATATTTTATACTCCTTACCTTTCAACTTTCAACTGAATGTGTTTAGTTTCATAAGTAAATTATACATTGTAACAATGTTAACAAGGGCAGGAATCAAACTGCTCTTCCTTGTATCAGGCTGGCCCCTGAAAGAGTGAGTGAATCAGTGATTGAATGTGTAACATGATTGAATGTGTAACACAGTAGCAGCAGACAGCAATTATCACCTGGAAGCTGCAGATCAACCAACGGAAGAACTCAATAGAAGACAATGTAACAACCGGGAAATCTCTAAACGTCACTGATCCAGGGCTAGAAGACCTGGCCTGAGTTAATCAACGCCAGAGACCAACTTTTGGGCTGAATATCTCCAGATCGATCACTCCCAGAGCCCTATTCTAAATTCATCAACGGACTCCCAAACCTGCACGTATATGTGGACAACCCCTGGGGCTGACAGATGCCGTCCAGTAGCCACCGAGGGGTGGGGG